ACCCTCTCATCATAACCTCCACCTCCAGGCACCACGCCAGGACCTCCAGGCGCCCGGCCACAAAAAAAAACAACGTACTCATGCGTACTCCGTGGTGTCCACCGCGAGGTCACGGAGGAGGACGTTAAAGACGCCCTCCAAGCACGCGGTCTCGAGATGGTCAAAGTCTGGAGGATTACCTCCAGACAAACAAACAAACCAACAACACTGATACGGGTACTCTCCTTATCGGAGAGAGTAATCGCCGAGCTACTTCAGAAGGGGCTGAAGATACTCGGCGAAATAATCCGGGCCGAAGAGTCGCACCCACCCCCAGACCAGCCAACCCAATGCACTAGGTGTCTGCAATTCCACGGACCCACCACCCCGTGCGAGCGGGAACCTGCATGTGGCCTCTGCTCGGGAGAGCACGCCACCAATAAGTGCCAGCAGCAAGAGCAGCAGATTAAGTGCGGCGGCGACCACGCGGCCTTCAGCCACAGCTGCCCGCGACGCCCAAAGGCCCCCATCGCTCCCGAACTGGCGGCACCTATTAAGTGCCACGACCCGCCGTCTGACAAGGTAGTGGAGGACATCATCAGGACCGTGACGGTGGCCCTCCTCAACATATTCCCGCAGGCCCGAGCCCGCATCCGCACATTCATGCCCCCAGTGGCCTTCCACAACCTCGGTTTAAAGATGCACCTGATTCGTTCGAATCAGGACATCAGTATATCTTTCGATAAGGTCGACCAGCCACCCACCGCCACCATAACCGAGGAGCTTAATGGCTAGCACACCTAACGTAGGAACAGTCAACGTCCGTAGCTGGGGGAATAAGAAGGAGCTTGTCTGCAACCTGCTCGCGTCTGAGAGCGTCGGCATCCTGGCCATCCAGGAAACGCTAAGTACACCGTACCGGCAGGTCAAGATCCCGCAATACCAGACGTACCAAAAACACAGCGAGCAGAGGTCCTGGGGAGTCTCACTTGCCATCAGCCACAGACTGCCGTCTCGCCCGCTTGCAATCCCACCGGAGCACGCTCTCCAAAACGTCGTCGCAGCCACCGTCATCTGGCAAGGGAAAACGGTAAATATTTATTCCATTTGCATCCGCCCCCATGACCGCCTTCCAATCTCCTTCCTCCGCTACGCCTCCCAAAACCCCCCAGCCATTGTTGAATGGTGACCTGAATGCCCGACACGCCGACTTTGGAGACCACGCCACAAACACCAACGGCAGGAACTTGCAGCTGGCTCTGGATACATACCCCATATTACGCCTCGGTTGCACCGAGCCGACGTTAATTAACCATAATGGCCACTCCATCATCGACCACATCATCCTCACCGAGGACCTGGTCGATGACCTACTTCCAGACGCTACCATCGGAGCCCCCGTCGCAAGCGACCACCTTCCGGTCGTCGGAAAAGCCGCACTCCCGCGCTTCCCGCTACCCGAGGCTCGTAGGATGCGAGCCTGGAGCTACGCAAAATGGGATGAGCTGGTAGCCCAGGTGCAGCGAGCCACTGATCGACGCCAAGAACCCATCGCCACCACTCAAGAGCTCGAGCTCAGAGTCTCCGAGCTCACCGACATCGTAGAAACGGCCATCGAGGCGAATGTTCCCACCCGGAACTTCACACCGCGGCCACCGGCACTTCCGCCGGACATAATGCACCTGGTCCGGGAAAAACGAAGGCTCTACCGCACTCTCAAGCGTACGAACGACCCGGTCATCCGCATCACCTGGAACCGGCTGGTCGCCATCACCAGACGCAAGATCCGGGAGCACTGTGAGAGGGAGTGGCGCAACATCACGGCAACGCTTGACTACAGAGACGGGAGGAAATTCTGGAATTTACTCAACCGTCTCACTGGTATGAAAGCAGCGCCCAAATACCCGCTGCAAGCGGGTATCAAGCCACTCACGGATGCGGAGAAGTCGGAGGTATTCGCCAGCGCTCTACTGGAAAGCAGCCGGTTGGAGGACCAGCTGTTTGACGAGCCCTTCCGTGAGGCCGTCACGGACGAAGTCGGCAATCTGCAACTCCCAGACTCCCACCCACCAGTCAACGACCCCATCACCACCGAAGAGATTGCAGAGACCATTGCCGGCCAAAAGAAGAACATGGCACCTGGCATGGACGGCATCTCCGAGACCATAATCCGCAAGCTCCCGGAATCTGCAATCGAGTGGCTGCGGCAAATATACAACGCCTTACCCAGGGACACTTGGAAAGCAGCCACGGTGCTTATGTTCGCAAAACTCGGGAAAGACCCAACCCTTCCAAGCTCCTACCGCCCCATCTCACTCCTCCCGGTCATTGGCAAGCTATTTGAAAAGCTGATCCTAAAACGGATCAGCGACCACTGCTCATCTAACAACATAATCCCACTCCATCAGTACGGCTTCACCAAAACAACCTCCACGCAGCATGCCATCCTCAACCTCAGCAACGCCTGCTACTCCCAGCTATATTCTCCAGCCCTCTTCCTCGACATTCACCGAGCCTTCGACACCGTATCGCACGACGGTCTCATTAAAAAACTATATGATGCCAATTTCCCACTTTACCTAGTCAAACTCCTCCAACATTACTTCCACAACAGAACCGCTTCAGTAAAAATAAACTCCACCAGTTCCCAATCAATCACCCTTATTGCAGGAGTCCCCCAAGGAGCCATCCTCTCGCCCATCCTCTTCAACATTTTTTGCAGTGACATCCCCGCCCCTTCACAGACAGCATGCCACCTCCAGCAGTTCGCCGACGACACGGTCATCACCACCTCCCATCGCCAAGCCGCATGCGCCATAGCCACACTCCAGGACGTCAGCAACAAGCTGGAAAAATGGATGCGAAAATGGCGCGTTAAACCCAACCCTCAGAAATCCCAACTCATCGGCTTCCGTCACCCACGAACCCACCGCTTCCGCGACACACGACTTACCACCCACCTCTGGAACGAAAATATAGCAGAAACCCGTCGCATCACCTATCTCGGCATCCAACTCTCCCGCACGCTTAACCCACTTCCCACTATCACGCAAACCATCCGCAGAGCCAGGCAGCGACTCAACTTGATCATCCGACTCCGAACATCCCTCGGCGGCTGCCACCCAAAAACCCTATTCCACACCTACAAAACCTTCATCCGCCCCGTCCTCACCTACCCCTCAATCATCCTCTCAATTGCCTCCCAACACACCCTGCAGAGAATCCACAGCTTCGAGAGAAACGCCATCCGCAAAATCTTCAACCTCCACTACCGCCACCCCAGCGAGTACCTCCATGACCTCGCCTCACTCCCCAAAATCCCCGACTTTATCCACAAACTCCAAGGCCGACACGCCACCAAGACCTTCTCTCTGAACCACCACACCCGCACCCTATACACCCGCTCTCCGCCAGCACCCGCAAACCCAAAAACAAAATCTCTTTCCCACCAGCAGTTCTCGCCTTCAACGCACCCCCGGATAACGACCCCGACATAACCCACTTCCTGAGCACCATCAATCCCATATTCCTCCACCCAGACCCAAACCTCCAACTACCAAACCACCACCCACCAAACACTGATAATTAACCATTTTTTTTTCTCAGCTAGCATTAAGCTAGCAATAACCATCAAAACTTTTTTCTTTTTTATAAAACTGTCACCTTGTAAATATTTAAAATATATTCTGGCTAAATGAATGCATGTATGCCACCCCCTTAAAACTACCACTTTAATCTGCATTTCAGCAACACAATAAAAATCTATTTAAGTCTAAAAAAAGTCTTTTAATTAATATATACTACTCTTGAACTTGAAGCAACCAATGCTTAAAACCCACTAGGACTGGACATCGGCAATACTACAAATTATTCCACAGTGTACAGAGATATTCCATCCCGGGACACGATAATATATTAAATAATACCGTAGATTCTCTTTTCAAGAATACATTATTTTGAATGATGTTTTGATTCTCGTAGTTTAGATCCAAGTTTCACAATCATGAAAAATGTCGATTAAACATTGACTTCATTAAAAATGAAAAGCTTTTATTTTTTTTGTTCCGCAAAAGTTTATATTTATTTTGAGAATTACGTTTCTTATTAATATAATAGTGAGTTTATATTTGTTTATAATACCTTTAATATTTGTTTATATAAAAAAGCGTACATAGTCTGTTTATATAATAAAATAATGGTTGAACAAACACATTTGTGTTTTGCATTTACTGTAAATACAAATTATATTTGCAAAGTATAGTCCGCTATAAAAAAGGATGAAAAAGAAAATCAAGGATGGTTAAGATATTCAAAATATACATAATATGTGTACACAAGTTTTGAAAATGATGTAGCAGGCGCACAATCCGAGACTTCCGGAAGAAATTTTGCTTACAATTAATTTTGCTCGTTAAGCGAAATGCGCGTTATGCGAGGTATATGTAAGAATACGTTTACAAAATGTTTACATAAAATTATATATAATTTGTATACATTCTAAAGAGAGAAAGAATAATATTCCAATATATCAATACGTACATTTGCATACGTTAAACGCATACGAAGTTAATCTTTGCGAATAATACAGAACAGACTCGTGTCAAAGAAGTGCAGTATTTATACAACTGAATAAACTTACTTATAATAATCATAACTAAGACAAGAACGCAGATGAAGTGTACCATTCGACCAGCATGGGTGATCCAAAAGGTTACAGTGTTTTGTGGGGAAAATTTGGTCGAATTTTTTGGCCAGGTGAATAATATATTTTCATTGTATAAAAAACAAGTATATTTGTCTTACGATTACGATTTTAATTAAAGCTCTGGTATTGCCATCGACTTTGGTTCATTCTAAAGCCAACGACGATAATATTTGGGTTTTCTGGTTTGGAGATCATACTTTTTCACAGGTAATTCGTATAAAATATACATTTTTCTCTGAGTTATTAACTATTTAAAAATAAAATTTTGATAAATTTAATTACGTATTTCTTCGACCGTGTCTTACGGTCGAAGAAATACGTTTATTAAATATTGTATTGTTGTACAGAAATCAAATTCGAAATAAAGTGCGTCTTTTTCTTGCAATTACATATGTTTCCAAAAATATATTAGTTATATCACTTAACGTTGTATGTTATCATGTATTCTAAATAATTAATATATGATAACTAGATTTGACGTATTTATTGATGCTAAGCAGGTCAATTTTGAATATAATAAACATAACCAAACTTGACCTAACCTTCAAAATATTTGTTTTCATAAACATAACAATAGTTTTACCATTTTAAAATATGTACATTTTTAGGTTAAAAACGAACATTGTTAGGAGGCAATCAAAGTGATTATGCTAAAACTCTCTAACTAAAGAACACATGCAAAATGGCGTCCAAACAGCGATAATTATGAAATATTTCATATCCTATATTTAGATTTATTTACTCGAGGCACTAAATATACATAAGCTGTGCAAAAGTTCTCCCTTCTCACACTGAACTGGAACTACCTAAAACCCTCAACGAAAGCCAAACATTCAATGTCACTAATAGTACCACCAAACTTCTGGATATAGGTTACTATATATTGTTTTGTTAGAATAGGTCAGTGATTCCCAAAGCGGGTGGTGATGGCCACAGGTGCATTTGGGGGCAATGAATGACTATTATTTGCTATTCAAATTTAAAAAAAAATTCCAAGGGGTGTTGAGTAATATTTTTTTTCTGGAAAGCGGGCTGTAGGCCAAATAAGTTTGGGAACCACTGGAATAGGTTATCAATACGTCACCAAATAACAGCTGTCAGCTTGCGTTAAAAAATATATTATAAAATTGGGTCAGAGGAAAATTACAAACTAATATGTTAGGTTAGGTGGAAAATAAAGTTGAGAAGCGCTGGGTTAGGTTAAATATATACTTTCAATGTCACCAATAGTTCCGCCAAGTTCAATGATACAAACTTCTGGTTAACAAGTTTTGACGTATTATTAATGCTAGGTTACTATATAATTTTCTGACCTAACCTTTAAAATATTTGTTTTTATCAAATTTCAATAGTTTTCGTATTGTACAATTAATTGTTTGGTTCGTATTACCTGAATATAACAAAAAAATGTATAATCAAATCAAATAATCAATTTAAATATTATCCAATTATTTTACCATTATTACATTTTTAGGTTAAAAAAGCAAATATTGTTAATTTTGAAGAATATTTTAAAGACAAGACAATAACTTTCTTCCGTCAAAATACGAAACAGTCGGACTGGCTAAAAGCAATATACGAGGCAATCAAAGTGAGTATCCTAAAACTGTTTAATCTAAGAACGCACATTTTTTTTATACTTTAGATATATTCAAAACAGCGTAACTTGCTGGTAGATAATTGGAAAAGCGAAAGACTTTTAAAATGGGCTTTAAATGGTTTCCCGAGATTGGGAGAGATGTCGGAAAATTTTACATTGCCCGAATGGATCGTGCAGAAATTGGACGAACTTAACAAGACTTTCGAGGTTGAAACCGAATCTGAGAGCGACGACGATTACGATGCATTATTTCCTATACGAATAACTAATCAACGCGAATTTGAAATCATGTGCATCGGCTGCTATTCATTCAAAATCTTGCACGAACATCCCATATTCTTCGGAAATATTTGCAAGATCTGTCAGGTTATTAAGAGACTAGAAATAATAAATAAAAAACATTCACATTATATTTTTTTAGACTAAACTAATCAAAACATTATTTATGTTTGGAGATGATGATGCTCAGGTTTCTTCAATTCTATTCAATTATAATAAATAAATTGAATAACATTTTTTATTTTAGTACTGCTGCTCAATTTGTGGTGATTTTGGAAACTTGATTTTATGCAGTTCCTCTAAATGCGGAAGGTAAATCATACATTTTTTTACGTTTATTTCGGATATCGAATTTTCATTTCTAGAGGTTTCTGCGCAAAATGCATCGATATTTTAAAAGACGATAGGAAATCGATTTTAGAACAGGACAATTGGCTGTGTTACATTTGCTCTTCGAGTCCTAGAAATTCGAAATGTTTTATACAGCTTCGCGAGGATTGGATGGAACGTGTAAGTTAATTCCTCTTGAAACTTGATATTTTAATAATCATCGTCATTGTTTTTACAGGTGCACACGTTGTTCAACGAAAAACTAATTTTTAAAATTCCCTCCTTTCCAAAGAAGAAGTTGCGAGTTTTATCCGTTTTCGATGGAATAGGAACGGGTAACGTTAATATATTTTAACACTATTCCTACCACGACCGGTCAAATTACCGTTACTTTTAATTTCGATTAGAATTTCCTAAAAAAATACATTTATATGAGATTTCTACGCAAGTTCTATGAGATTTCTAAGGGAGTTCTATTAAATTTCTAAGAAATCTCTATGAGATCTCAAAGCGATTTGTATGAAGATTCTCAGTGAGTTTTATGAAATATCTAAGTGATTTCCATGAGAATTCTAAAGAATTTCTCCTAGATTTGTAAAGGGGGAGTTTTCAAATGATTTCAATGCAAGTTTAATCAAATTTCTAAGATGATGAAGGGAATTTTATGAAGTTTCTAAAGTGAGTTTTATCGAATTTCTAAGTGATTTTTATGAGATTACTAAGGGAGTTCTATTAAATTTCTAAGCTATTTCTATGAGATTTCTAAGGATATATGAGCTTTTTAAGAGATTTCATTATTAAATTTCTAAGTGATTTTCATGAGATTTCTAACTCTTCTATGAGATTTCTAGAGGGTTGCTCTTTCCATAAAATTCCTATGGTGTTTCTAAAAATTGGAAGTTCCACTATTGTCTTAATTTTAATTCTTTAATGTTTTTTGTTGTTCTCAGGTCTTGTTGCTTTAAATAAGCTTAACATCGATGTTGAAATTTACTATGCAATTGAAATAGACGAAAACGCTATAGAAATTGTGCATTCGCATTTCAAGAATGTCGAACATCTCGGCGACATAAAGGGAATAAATGAGAATACGCTATTGGAAATATGTCCCATAGATTTAATTCTCGCCGGGTCACCTTGCAACGATTTGAGTAGAGCAAATCCATTGAGAAAAGGATTGTACGGTATTATAAACAAACAAATTTATATAAAGCGCAAAACCTGGCATAGCTTGAAACCGGACTATTTTCCTTAGAATTTATTTTGCTCAATATGCATTTAGTTTGTTTTGAAATTGTCAAATAGGACTATGCGAGGTATTGTATTTAATGTTTATTTACATTTTCAAACTTTTTTTTATAGAACCTTCTGGTACTGGTATACTATTCTTTTATTTCTTTAAAATCCTGACTACTATGGCTAAAATTAATGGACCGTTCTTTTGGTTATTCGAAAACGTTTCTTCCATGAACATTAAAAACAAAAATATAATATCAAGGTATGAGAAACAAGGAAAATACGCGAAAATTACTATCGATTTATAATTTAGGTTTTTGATGTGCGAACCCACTATGGTCAGTGCAGCGTGGGTTTCACCGCAAAGAAGAGAACGTTTCTTTTGGGGGAATTTGCCAACGTTGCAATGCAATTTTGAAAATAAGGGCCCAACGTTGGAAGAATATCTGGGTTCTAATAGGAAAGCGCTTTGCGAAAAAGTCAATACAATTACGACAAAACGAAATTCGTTGTATCAAGGTAACCGTTTTTTTTTGTTCAATTAAAAGAGAATTTTCGATATTTTTAATATATACATTTTTTTTAGGAAATGAGAATAAGTATCCTGTATTTGATGAAACTACAATGGAAAATGATGTGCTGACAATTAACGAAATCGAATCCGTATTTGGTTTTGACATTGATTACACGAACGTTTCCAATATCGGAGTGAGTTCAAGGCAGGAGTTATTGGGGAAAGCCTGGAGCGTTCAAGTCTCGTGTTTACTATTGAGATGTTTGAAACAGTTTTATAGGTCTACAAATTAAAACATAAGAAAACAAAAACTAGAATTAAATATAATTAATTAATAAGGAAATATTTAGAATTTGGTTTATTGAATTACTTTTATAATAACAGTATTTTCAAAGATTCCAATGTTTAGCTTCTATGAATTCATATGATTATAGTGATAAATATTTTGATAAGCACCTGAATAAACAAAACACCACACCAATATTTGCATCTGTGCTGTTTGAGTAGTCAATATTTACTATTTCTACAAATGATGAAGTGGATTTCAATTTATTTCTGTTATATTTGTGTGTTGATTGAATTAGTTTCATGTGGTGTTGCTAAAACCTTGAGAATAAAATCGCATATGTTATAGAAATAATATATTATAAATTAAAATAATATGTATTATGTAAACTATTGAAAGTTGTCATATGTTCCATTTGTGTATTATATTCTATTTTGGTCCTATTTATACCCCTTTCGGATTTATCGACCATAGCCACATGGCTACAGCAGCCCTCTCCATATGTGTATGTAAAGCTTGGAAAAAGGAGAGTACCCTTATTTGATCTAAGGTTGCATATATTCTCCATTATTAAACTCGTTAAGCGAGGTTCCACTGTATAGAGTACAACATATTCACATACACATAATATGTGTACTCAAGTTTTAAATATGATGTAGCAGACGCAATCCAGGGCTTCTCTTCTTATCGTCACTCGTTATGCAAAACGTCACTCGTTAAGCGAGTCATTTTTCTTAAAATTAATTTTGCTCGTTAAGCACTGTACTTAGTTTTGTTATGCTAGAGGGAGAAAAGAAGAAGTTTTATTATGGTTCCGATCACTATATAATGATTATCGTGGTTTAGACTTTATCCACAATCTTTAAGAGGCGAGAGAATCTTGAATTTGCGCGTGATTTTTTTTTATTTTGGTAAAAATAAAGGTTGAAAAACACGGAACCCATAACATTTCATAACTAGTATATATGCAACCCATCTTGCTATAATTCTAACTTCAAATATGGATAAGTTTACAGCAAATAAGTTAGGAATTGTTGTAGTATCCACATTAACCCTGCTACAATTCTTATCGAATGAACGATAGCCTGGAAAATCGCAAGAATATTGAAAAGCAATTCATAAAGAACAAATTATATTTTAACATGCGCTAGCCGAATTGTTCGTTAACCGATTTTAAAAACGGTTTAAGTTTCATACCACCACTAGCGTTAACTTCTAAAAATAACGACGACTTACTGACGTGGGAATTCGATAGAAGAACATGTTTGTTTATCGAATATGTTTCGATTACTAAGGAGTTTTAATTATTCATTAACCGATTTTCAAATGGACAATTTTTATAAATTTATACATACCATGATATAAATATTTGTATAATGGATGATAAGTGACAAACTTTAGATCCGGTCATGACAACTTTTGTAAATTGGATTACAATTTCAACTACCGTATCTATAAGATATACATAATTACATAGAAAAAAAATGATTTAAAACTGGATTGTATCTTATGGTGCGAACATAATAAAATATTCTTGTCTAAAAATTCTCCCATAAATTTGGTGAATTATAGTCCGATGCGTTTTGTAGTCCGAAAAATACAGTAATTAAAACCAAAGAAATAATTAATTTGCATGTATTACGATACAAAAAAAAACATTTAAATTATAATAAAGTAAAAAGTGAGATACTTAAATACGCATACAATGATTATAAAATAGATTATATGTAAAATATACGAAAATAAATATAATATGGATGGGTCTTATTTAATATCAATAATAAAAATTGTAAATGATTCATAATTATTTATAAATTTTATGATATAAATAACAGTACCTAACAAAAAAAATGACAAAGTATAATTATTATATAAACTATCAAATGTAAATGATTACACGTTCAAAAGGAAGCCGCCCTCACACTTTTTTCTTCTTTGCTTTTGGACTTGAAAGTGTGATCAGAGGAACTCGTCGTGCTTGTTTCACCGCTTCTGCCTTTACCAATTCCACCTTTTTATCTACAATACCGGTATTCTCTTTTTCTACCTTTACTTCTTCTGTAACACTGTCCTCCTCTACAAACAATTTGAAATCTTCGGACGGGTCTATACTCTCATCGCACAAATCGACGACTTCGTCCTTTTTCGAAGACGCCACTTTAAATAAACTAGTTGGTTTTATTTTAATACAGTCCATGACACTTTTTTCTTCAACCTTAACGTCCGAACTTTTATCTGGCTTCTCCTTCTTGTCCGACAACGGTTTCAAAAACTGCAGAAGTGTCACTTTCGGCGTTTTCTTCGCCGATGTTGGACTCTTTTTCTTTTCTTTCGGGGTTTTCTCAGCCGCTTTATTCGGAGTTAATTTACTCTGTTCCAGTTTTTTCTTCTTAGGCGGCGGTTCGTCCGAAGATGTTTCGCAAACCGATTTTTCTTCAATTTCTCGCAATGTTTTGCACATCGTGAAATTCTTTGGATCCGTTTCCACGCCATTTACGATGAATTTTTCGATTGGTTTGAAATCGTTTTTAGTACTGCAAGATGGTTCCACCTTCGTTGGAACTATTCGTTTCTTCGGGGAGCTTGTGGATAACGTTATTGGTGTAATTCGTTTGGTCACTTTCTGTTCCACTTTAATTTCATTGGGTTTACTGCATTTTTCAGATATTGTTATTGGTGTAATTCTCTTCTTTACATTCACATTAATCTCAGGTTCTTGGTTCTTTACAGGCGATTCTTCAATTAATATTACTTCTTTAACGATCTTCTCCGTTGGCTTTTGCTCAACTTTTTGTTTATTTGACTTCTTGGCCCACTGCTCTAGGAAACTTGGTTTTTTAGATTTAATTTCAGGAACTTTTTCTTCAATTTTCTCTGTCTCTTCTGGGAAACTCATCAGATGATCTTCTGGCTCACTTTCGTCTTTAACATATGGTTTTCCAAGTTCATTTTCCTCAAATGTAACAAGAGAGATGAAACCGTCAGTTGATGAAACAACCAGCAGAAGGCCATCATGAGACCATGTGAGATCAGTCAGTCTTGTATAATGTACCTTCTGCAAGCAAGCAAATGGTGCATTCTGTTGTGTGTCATACAATATAACATCACTATCTGTTGCAATAGCAATTATAATTCTATAGGGAAGATCGATTAACGGTTTGGAACCTTTTGGCCTCAATTCATATAAGATGGGTGAACATTTTGCAACAATTGAGCATTGCTTTGGTGAAGGGAAAATTGCAGCAGGTTGTTTAAACGAGTCCAATGTAAAAATAAAAGTTCCATACATGGCAGATTTGCAATCTTCGCTTTCGATGCAACCGGAAGGTACAATCAGGAAACTGCCATCTGGTGAAAAAGTTAATCGTCGAAAAAATGATTTAAATGTATCGTCGTGAAAGTATTTGACTTCCTTGTTGTGCAATGGGTGACTTTCGTCTACAGGTAGAGGTCCCCTGCCTATTCTAGCCCGGACGCGTCTCCCATTCTGTTCAAAAATTCTGCATATCCGATCATTACTCATTGTTGCAATAAACTGATTCTTTGGGTCCCACGCTACTCCCTACAATTAAATAACATGTATAACATAAAACAACATATAGTAAAGAAATATAGAAATTACTTGAACGAAATTTTTCTGATCAGTTATTATATATTCACTTTGAGCTTTATTCATATCCCATAAGATTGCACTATTGTCTACAGAACCAGATAATAACTTATTTCCATTAGGAGACCAACAAATGTCATAAACATCTTCTTTGTGACCTCTCAATATCTGCAATTAATCAGTAGTAAATAAAAGATTAGATATAATAGTAAATCAAATAAATACTTTATGAACATTCCAGGTCTCTTTAAAATTATTGTCGCCTTCGAGTAAAGGGACATTATCAACTTTCATTTGCCATAGAATGATATTGGCATCATCATCACCTGAAGCTAAATACTGTCCATCGGGAGACCACCTCACTGCATTAACAGCCTTTTGGTGCCTAGTTAATTCAGAGAGCACTTCAACATCGACTGCTCCACTATCTGAAATTTTCAATTGCCAAATCTGGAAAATAATTGTTAAGCTAGAAACGAATCATCTCATAAAGAAATTTTTACCAAAACAAGTGAATCAGAGCTTCCAGTTGCTAGTCTATAAAATTTTCCTTGTATAGGCTGTATATCAACACTTAATATTGGTTCTCGGTTATGCCATGATATCTCCGGTATTGTGCACTTCATATTATTAGTAATATGTAACTTAAAACGAATTTGCTTAAATATCAAATACGTAAAAACAAACAAAAAACAACAATCTATACAGCAACACTAACAACTTAACCTATAAATTCGTTAATTTCGGCGCGAAATTAAAACTCGTTTCATGCTACCAACTGCGAGAAATATAATTCTATTTTCTTAATGGGATTTGAAGGGGAAATCAATTCAAATTCTCGTTTAATTTTTTATTTATTTAATAAATTCTCCTATGTTAGTGACTGACATGTATGTAACACATACTAATTACATGAAATATTTACAATGTAATGTAATATACTTATACAATGAAGAGAGTTAAGAATTGTGAAAAGAAAAGTCAAAACAGAAGATGTCCTTCAGTCAATAATTTTAAACATTTTTTTTAAGCATTTTGTCCTTAAATATTTACAAATAATATATATATATATATTTATATATCAAGAAGATTAGCAGCCTTTCTTAAACAATTATGTACAATTATTATATGCTTTCGCTGTTAATTCATATAGTTGTTTTAGTTTTATATTTTATAATATAATTGTGTATATATTTATATGTGTAGATATGCATATATTTATACATGCGTACATACACACATATATTATTATTATTTATATACAAACTATTTAATTTATTATTTACATAGTTTAAATCTACAACAGGAATAAAGTTAATTTAATTTTTATTTTCAATTATTTATATATTTATATTTATGTACTTTCTTATTTTATCCTTTCATTCAGTTGCTATCACTTTTAAATAAGATTCATTTATTTTTATTTATAAAAAAAATGGATATTCTATTAATGTGAGTGTGTGAGTAGTCTCAAGACGACGATAACGGAATGAATAGGGGGAATTATAAAATATGTAAAGATTTGTATAAAAGAACGGTTTGTTTGTTGCGATCTGTTTTGTTGTGTTTGCGTTCTGAAAAAACGGTTTACTGTTAAAATATATGTATTTTTATATATGTATATATTTATATGATTAAGCGACTTTTTTATTGGCAGTGGACGTGGATCGGTTGGCACAATTAGAGAAATTGAGAATGCTGTGAGCGGGGTTTTCGGTGATGTTCTGCGGAAGGACGGCGGGACGGGTGTCCTTGACATTCGCAGAAGACAGGGAACTGCTGCTCACCCCCGAATCACTGGACTTTTCACTTAAACAGCTCCTGCTTATAAAAGTTGAATTAGTTTCAGTTACTTCGTTGCCCCCCACAACGTATTTTACAGTGTTTAGCTTTTGATCTGCCTCGCAAGAGTCCTCATAGTGGATTTTCCTCGCACTAGAACGGGCCCTCCTGCAAGGGTCAATCAACGTTGTATGACCGTGCATGCTAACATAAGAATCTTTCGTTTTCCTCAACATGTCTCCGCTCGAATTCGGGATTGTGTTGTTGGGAATGTTAGGTTGATAGCCGGTATCTTCCTTGAGATTTAAGACGTTCTTTTGAGCCTGCCTAACGCGCGCTAATATTTCATTATTGCATTGCTCGACGACCGAATCTAGATTATTAGTGGTATCGCAAAAAGTATTGTTGTCACTAACGTCGGATTCTCCTTGCGGCGATGTCTGGTTATGGTGTTGGTGGATCTGTTTGTTAGATGACTTCAATGCCGCATCGTAACATCCCGAATCTCGCGGGAATTGTCTTCTACCAAACGGGGAGCAATTCCCGCCCGGCTCCCTAGACAATGCCTTATTATGGTCATCGCCTTCGCTACTTGATTCAGCTATGTCACCCTCACTACCAGCTGCAACACAAGAAACCACAAATGTTATAACATAACGTCATATTATTAACTAACAAATGATACAGATATAGATACCAAACCAATTATTCTAAAATCTAAATGTTATACATGATATAATAAATTAGACTTACTTATTAAAATGATATACAAAATACACGGAATGAAACATTCATAACATCTAAATTATTATATCATGAAAGAAAATGCATAATTCTAAAGCCTTTAAGTTACTCACTTTATTCAAATTTACATAAGCTTGAAATATTCGTTCCAATTTTAAAATTAATTATTGCTTACAAATATATTACTAATACTTCAAACTAAAAATGTATATTTACTACATTTTTATCAACTCTTTAATATAATTGCTAATTACTTTGCTGTCAAATCATTATCAACTACTTCTAAAATTTGACCAAATATTAATTTTGCTATTGCAATTTGAAAAAAAAAATCGGATAAAATTCAATATATACAGATGATAAAGGAAGAATTAGTAAAATATATACTTTTGGCTAAAAATTAAAAATATCTTCAACTATTTTTTTTATAGAGAATCAATAATTTTATATTATTTGATAAAATGAAGCTTATTAATTTAGTAAAGTAAATTTGATGCCTATTAATACTTTTGCATTTCATTATTACGAGAGTTATAATAACTTAAATTAAGCAATATTGGTAGATTTATATTAAAGATGAAACAATAGACAAAGCAAAAAAGCATTTTTGTTATGAACATATTCTTACTATTAATGTTACAAATTAGTTTATTTAAACGAATATGAAGAATATGTTGATAGACTTGTTAATTATATAAATATTTTAATGAATTAATGAGTAATTAGGAAAATTAATTGAATTAACCAAAAACCAGTGTTTTCAAAAGCTAAAGCTAAATCATGCACTTTCAATTTAGGTATACTTTAGAATCTACGTTAACTGAACGAATTAATGGAAACGTGAGTTTACAATAAATATGATTAGTAGTAGTTGTCCACTAGATTTGGGGATCGGGTGACTGTTTTGTTTAGCTATGTGGTTTAAAAAAGTTTAGAAATTAACTTACTGTTTTGTTTTTTAAATTAATTTCTATATTATTATATAAAAAGAGACTAGTAATTCGTTGAATCGAAATAGAACCGTCATTGAACCGAAAGTAATCAAGAGAGCACTAAAAAAAATCAAAAAAAACAAAAAAACAAAATAAATAAAACATTTGTGGAAAAGCATCACTCACACACTGGATGTTAATCGTAAAAAAATAAATAAATAATGTTATGAACTGCAAACGTATAAAATAAGTATGTATTGTAATGTTATATGCGTTGCTGGTATGCAGAAACTGAAACTTACAGTCTAAATCGTGCAGCACTTGTACGGCGGTAAGGATTTTTGCACGATGGTCGCCGTTCACAATGCCCAAATAATCTAAATCCGACGGTTCGAGTTCCTTGAACAGCTCGAGATCCTCGTATCCATTCAGGACGAACACGGAAATGTACTCCTGCAAGCCGACCTTCTGCAGTAAATCTTCGACAGATTTTGGCTTTGCTTTGATGTTCCTGTGCCACTTCATTTCGCGGCGAGCTTTTATGTTGCGTTCGGACAGTAACTCTACGTTAATAAATTTAAATGTGCCCCTCCGTCCGTGGCATATTCCCTTCCATTGACCGCTCGCATTCATCGATAAAATTTCAATTATGTCTCCTTTCTATACGCAAATCCATAAAAAAAAATAAAAAATTATTTCACATTTTTTTAAATTTTATTTATTGAACAAGCTGACCTTAAATTTCAAAGCTTCTTTGTCGTACGGACTGGGTGTGTAGTCTACGAGGGCTTTCGCCTTTCCAATGATATGCGGCTCTGTTGGACTAGGTTCGACATCTTCAGCTGATATCGAACTGTGATTGCTTCCTGCCCTTACAAGTGCTTGAGTACCTAAAGTTTAATATAGAGAGGTTTCGTCAAAAAAAATATCAAATAATTTATTACATTATTTGCTAGTAACACATATAATAATTCTATCGCATCATAATATACAACATTTCTTACAATATTCTTAGTTATTATTAAAACGCAATTAAGTCTTCACGTTACCGGGTTATATCAATAAATACCGTGCTAGATGAGGTACAGTCAGCACAGTATTAAATAGCAACATATGTATTCCTGAATTCTAATTCCAATATTTTTTTCATGGACACCAAAATATCTCGTAAACCCTAATATTTCTAATGGGACCTATGTCCCTAATGGATACGACGGCTTTGAATATAGTTGTATTTAATAAAATTAGCTTAAATTTCTACCTACACTAATTTCCAATTTGATCTATTTTTATTTAAAGCATTAGTGTTATTTTATTTTATAATTTTTGTTAAGTAAATGTTTTATCATTACCAATTTGCTTAAATGTTATATGTGAAATTTTATTTTTAAAATCTTTTAATTGTAGATCATATAGCTTTGTTTCCTCCTTAAATAGATAAAAGAATGAAATAATAAATATTTTCACTAAATATGAAAATAAAATATATTAAGTTTCTGCTTTAATTGAATGAAAGTATGAACTTATGCAATTTATAAATATATTAAACAAAAGTTGTAAAAGGCATAAATCTGGATTTGTTTTTTTTGTAGTTCAATGAAATTATGCTGGAACTATAATGGATATGTACATAAAATAAGTTATAAAACAAATTAGAGTAAAACTAAAGATAAAATAAATGTAAAATTAAGTAATTGATTAGTTGATGTTTTGATGAAGAACAACTTACTGGATCCGGAACCACTTGGAAGACTTTCAACGGAACTAGCGGAGCAAGGAAACGATGGGTCAATTCGCCTTGGTTCAGTTTGCTCACTCTTCAGACGTGAGATTTTCCTCTGCACGTCCTCTCTCAGACCGCGAACTTTTCCTACGAAATTGGCAACTCCTGCGGATCTGCCGTCGCCAGACTGCGTTTGCACGAAAAGTTAAGAAAGAAAGTATTAAATGAGAACGTCCACTTATTCGGTAAATAAACTTTGATTACCATGTGTACCGTGGCGACTTGTTGCGAGCAGTTCGTGTAATCATCCTGATCTTCGTAGTCGGAGCTCTGATTCGGCGAGAGGCCGTCCTCGCTGCGGGTGCAGGGAGGCCCAGGTTTGCGGAAGTGCCTAATCTTTTCCTCGATATGGGTGTAATACTGTGGGGAGACCATTTGCGAGGTATCTTGCTGTTCGGATCTGCTTGTGTCTACCGATAAAGTTGACAATCTTGAACTAACGCTCTGCACGTCTGAGCCCGCGTAATCCCCGCTCTCTCGATCTCTACACGTCCTTCGAACGAAAATTACCATAAGTTGGTCGTAAATCAGATGATAAAAATTAAATGAAAAGGATGCTGCCGCTGTTATAGGTTACCTAGAATGCGTTAGGGGTATTATGGTGGGTGGATATCCAGCCTGCGGTAAGATAAGGCCTCGTCTAGGAGGTCCCTTGAGAACGGAGCCCCCAACTCCGACCGGGGCCTCGCGAGGCAGTGAGATATCACCGGCACTTCGTAACGAAATCACACCCTCCGCCCTCGGCTCCTGCCTCAGGTTCAGCGTGAAGCAGACCCGACCGTTTTGAATTGTTGCTGTCGGCCCGGTCGGACTGCTGCCCATCAGGAAGTCCTCTGGGTCACTTTCATACGGTGGCTCATCGTACCAGTGGCCCCTATCGTGCACCCCTGGGGCCAACATCCTGGCATCCTCGTCATACATGTATGTATCATCTGCGCATAGAAACGAATAAAAATGTAAAAATCTTCTTCTACAATACATTAAATTTGAAACACTCACCGGCAGATATCGAACCTCTGACACCCTCCTTGTCCAAATGAAGTAAACCTTGTTTTATATTCCGCAAAATCTATACAGACACAACAAAGAATAAATATTTAGATAAAATATAAATACAATTCCCGTACGGACCTCATTGCAAATGCATCGCGTGAATTTGTAAATATATTTCATTAATCGTTTGAATTATTCAAATCGTTAATTTCGCAATATACATATATTACTAAATAAACGACCTAATTTATCTGGCTTCAGCTAACGTTGTTTTATTTTCGTTGTATGCACTTTTCGGAGATTCACGTCAACTGTAATTATAATTAATAACTAAGCCTTCATTAATTATACAATTGTTTACGTAAATGCGACATTCGTCTAATTAGTTTTTAATATTTATACGGTTATACATAATTATTTCCTCTTTATATCGATGTTAAAACCATTTGAATAATTCGAACTGTTAATTTCGCAAAATACGGATAATACTAAATAAACCAGCTTCAACTAACATTGTATTATTTTACATACACTTTTCAACTGTAATTATAATTAATAACAATCCTCGTTGTCCGTTATAATTGTTTAATTTGATATGTGTCTAATTAGTAGCAGCACGAGCAAATTACATTTTCACAATAACAACAATATTCAATTATATTAATTAATTAGAAAAAATACGGGCTAGTTTCAAAATTGCTTTAATTGAAAATACGTATATAATTTGCATCCAAACTAAGTAAATATAAAGTTCTATATTATTTCTATTTATTTAATATTGTATTGTTTTATGCAGGACAAATTATGCCCATTAAACTCGAGATTTTGATTACAGTATTTTGTTGCAGAAACTAAAATGTCCTAAAACATTAAACGCAAAATGTGTTTAGTATAAAAAAATTAAAAAAATACTCGTTTAAAAATCGCGTATGTTGTTATAATATTATTCTGTGCATGAATGTTTTTTTTTTCTATTACATGGAAATTTCGCAGGCGAATAATTTAATTAAAATAAATTCGTAACAAGTTCATTATCGCAGCGCGGTGCAATTAGTGCATATATGATACGGTGCATCCAAATTAGCTAATTTAGTTTGTAATTTTCGCGTGTTTTAATTAGGACCCGGTCGTCCCGGTCAATAATAATTGAAATTCGACGCGGATTAAATAATTCGCAATTAAAGACACGCGCGCGCCCTCTCGAACATCCCAATATTCGTGTGCCAATGATCATCGACGTGTTTCGTTGTTTATTCAGATCTGCTCTCTTTTTTTTCTACTTTTTCTTTTACGTTTTGGCGCGGTAATCCCTCAATTAAGATACGCAAATTGGAGGATGAAATGGAGGCGGGGGAGGCCTATCTATCGGGGCGAGAATGAATCATGTCCCGAGTTCTGGATGTAATGCAATCAAGATTCCTGCAGATCCTTGTTGAACCGGAAAATTAACAGGTTTTATTCACTGCGATCATTTGTTTCTGAGGTCCGTTTAAATCCGAAGCGTTTATTGTTTTTGTTTGGTGTTGCGTTTGATAATTGAAAATATGGAATTAATATTGCCAAGAATCCTATTATTGAAATGTATAGAAAAACTCTGCATGTATATTTAATAATTAATAAATACACTTGATTAAAAAACAGTTATTCAATGAAGACATGGAATTAATAATTAAGAGATGCAATTATCATCATCACCATTATAAATATTAAATAATAGAGTAGATCAACGTTTCTCAATCTTTTTTCCACGCGAACCAACAACATAACACCTCACTCAATAAGTTGGCACATCTATCGACAAATCCATATGATTTTTAGGAAGTACCAACCTTCAGACGACTCTTGTCAAAATTTCATGGCAATTTGACGTTTAGTTCAAAAATTACAGTGGTTTTAGTGAAGCTACTTTTGTAATTTTCAAAACAATGGACAAATCTGAATTTCGTGTGTTGATATGTTTATTGCTAACAGTTTGAGAAAAGCTGCAGTAGACGACTCGATTTAATTCTATATTAATTAAGCATATGCAAATTTTATATAACTATTTATTATAACTTTCTAGATTTATTAATGAAGATGATTTAATCTACTGCTCGATTAATTTTATGGATATATTATGAAATAAAAGTTAATAGTTTATAAGGATGACTCTTATTTTTTGTTTGTTTTAATTTAAACATATTTGTCTGTAATTATTTATGAAATTACATAATTATGAAACGATTAATATAGAAATAATAATCGATACTTACTTCTTCGTGCTCCTTCGTAAATTGCTCGCGTTTTCGCAAGGCTTCCTGTAGCTTCAACTGAAAATTAAAATAATTTGCACATAAGATTATTACGTAACAAACTGGTTTGATAACAAATTTTATGAAGTCTAACTATTTTATTATCGCTTTTTGTTGTCTATGATGATATTTATTTGTATAATTCAAAAGAAGAATTATATAAAATATTTTATATTCATATTGATATTTGCTTTATTGTCATAGTTTATAGATTCATACGAATCACCACTGATTGAAATCTATAATAATACGTAAACTAATTATCGTTGTAAATTCGTTACATTAACTTCAACAAAGGCTTAAAACGCATGAATTCTCTTAATCAGATGATCGAGTTTCTCGCCAATTATGAATTGCTTTGATACCAAAAACAAACAGATGGGGTGTTTCGGAGCCACATGTTACTCGTCGTTTTTTTCGTTCTAGTCCTTGGATCAGGCTAATTAGGCGGATTAGAATAATAACAAGCGATTATATAAATCCCGAAAACGTCAGTTTTTCTACACTGAACACATCCTGCCGTTGATTTTTGCTTTTCATGTAAAATTGGATGGAGTGCGATCAAAATCACCTACTTTTATTACCCAGGTCCGAAATGCCTCCTTTTACTGCTCACGACTTTACGAGTTTTGTTTTATTTGTATCTTCTTCCATTTCCCTCCTTTTTTTTTTCGCTTCGGTCGGTTTTCTTTCTCATAGGACCATACACATAACTCATGCGAATCTTTATATGACTTTGGAGACTGCAATTTCGGGAACATTATCGTCTATTTTATGTTTTAATTTCAAGTTTGATTACAACGTCACATAAATTCATTTGAGTCGTTTATTTCTGCAGTAAGTAAGTGCGCCGAGAATAAGTTCGCGATTATTATTATTATTTCCTTTTCTTCTTTTTGTAATTTTCCTTCCGAGACGCCGAGAAAATATTGCCTCAATTAAAATTGCAATCTCTATGTTTTCGCTTTCTTTTACGCGTTTTTCTTCGTTATTTTTTTTTACATCCTGCCGGATTCGTCGACTTTAATTTGAAACGGTGCTCGCCCTTCGGGCGATTAGAATTATATGCGTATAAAGGGAAGTTTAATATTTACCTTGTAGATTGTCTCCTCGAAAGTATTGGGCGTACTGCCGTTCATTTGCAAGTGCCTGAGGCGATCGTAGTCTCGTGGATCCACCATGGACCTGAGGACAGCGTGCTGACCTAAATCTGTTAAACCAAGACCACTCTGCAGGACGCTGTCCGGGGTGTCGACCTGAAACAAACGAAATATTATTATTGAAAATATATCCATATTTTTGTATAATGGTGGAATTCAAGGAAAATATATATTTTATTAAACGATAAAATATTGTCTCTTAAACATCGCACATATTTGATGATACACTGAAAGCTCAGTATTCAAACATAATTCGTTCCTAAAGATTATACGAAAACAGATTTTGTTCTAAAACAGAGTTTTCATGACTGCAAACTGAAATTTTGTTAAAAAAAACCATGCGGCTTTGATTGGGTTCAAGAAACAAAATTCGTTCTAAAAGGCTATACAAATACAGATTTTGTTCTATAACATTATACTCGCCGTATATTTTATATATTTTTAATTTTTATGTTAAAGAACTGACATTTTGTGAAACTTTTATTTCGTTTCTATTTCGTTCTAATACGGATCGAAAATTACACCTAAGCATTTCAAGATACGGTGTATAGTTATATACAATTGTAGATTTTGTTGCCAAAAACTTTTACAAAAATTTAGTTTATATTAAAATACATAATAATTATATAACAAATAATAATACTATTGGATTAATAGGAAATTAATATAGATTTCCAATTTCGTAATGAGTTGGCGACATATAGATGAAGTATCAATCTTCAGACGACGCCTGTCAAAATTTCATAGCAATCTCATATTTAGTTCACAAGTTACAGTGGTTTTTGTTTCGCTACTTTTGTAATTTTCAAAACAATGAGTATAGTAGAAATTGTTAGATTTTTTCACATTTTACTCTACAACTGTAGTTATTTTTATTCACTATTTTTCGATTAATGGATATTATTTACTATTTAATTGTTTTTAACTTTAAATTATAAAATAACTATAAAATCGTTTGTTATTATTTTTATAATTTAAATAAAAGTGATTTCGTTTTTCTATTTTTTCCTGGTATTATCAATGTATTTATCATATTATATAGTAAGATTCATTTATTTTTATTTATATTTATTTTTCATGGTTAAATTTGGGAAGGGAAAGTTTGCGTAAATTTCAATTACTTAAGTAAGTTTTGTTGTGTATTATGACGTTAATTATGGTGTAGGCTACATCATCACCGCTGCCGCCACCAGGGGATGGCGGATTTAATGCATGATAATAAAAGTTCGGCCATAATATAAGGTCGTGGGTGCATCTCTCCCCCATTCCCGTCGGATGCGAAACGTGTTCACGTACCTTAGAGAAGACAATATCCTACGACTAGTATTTGGATGTTTTTCCTTTTTCTCTCTCCCTCTTCATACCTTCTTTTTCTATTTAGTTATTTTTATTTTAATATTTCGTAACAAAGCCACTTTTACTCTCGCGAGATGAGATGGCATTGAAGCACTGGCATGCAGCATGCATGCAATTATTAAAATAAAAAGTAATAGTGAAATAAAAAGAGGAAAAGTCCTAGTAGACAGCGGGAGGGTACACACACATATAACCATGCAGACACACTGTAGACACAAGCGCGCGCGCATGTATGTATACACACACACACACACACACACAAACACAAGTGAACAAAAGTATCTTTGCTTTAATCTTCAAATACTTTGTCAAGCAAGTGTTTTTCTGTAAGCCCGTGCGCCATAGTCTGCAGCTTCAATTAAAGTGTAGTGCAGGTGTAGGACGAGCGGAGAAGAGTGTTTTTGACTGTAGAAGTCGTTGTTATTGCTGCATTTGCTGAGTCCGCGTCTCGGCTACCTTATCCTCTGAACAGATAAAAATGACTACAAAGTCCAACACCATTAAACATCGCTTACCGGAATCACCCTTCCTTTTTTTGTGTACCGTGAATGCCCTCTCAGACGACGTCTGATTTCTGTACGAAACGCAAAACACTTTGCAAAAAAAAATGATGTAGAAAATAGTTTTTCTGATTTTTTTCCGTCTACAACTCATCTTTATGTCTCTTTTTGTTGAGACATGTTTTTCGTGCATGTACATTTCAATAATCAAAAATTTTAACTGAAGCATGTTCAGAAATCACCAAAATGTATACAACAAACTGAGAAATAAAAAACATAGACATTCTTACTTTTTATTTATTTACCATCAATTTTGTATTATTATGTAAATTTTATCATCAAAAACATTAGTTTTTTTAATAATAGTAGTAGTTTGCAAGAAATTACTGTGTACATGCAAACTTAAAAATCAGAATGTATGTAAGATTTAACGTTTCTTATATTATCATCTGAAATTTTATAATATTCAGAAATAATTTCAAGTTTTATAAAAATTATAAGAAATTAATTAACTTTATCGAACGCTTCGGAGAAGTATCGAAAGATAATTGAACAGAATTTACTTTTTTTTCTTCTTTATAAGTTTTGTTTTTCATATTTTATGTCACCTCATTAAAATTATAATAAAGGATTTTTTAATTAAAATTATTGCATCGTTCGGAAAGTAATTTCGTTTTTATCCACAAGTGTCGTTAGTTGTATTTTAAACCAGCCAACTTATTTCAAAATTAATTCTTTGTAATTTTTGACTACTGACATAAATAAACCTTTATATTTTGTGTAATTTGTTTTTTTTTGTTATGTATTAATAATGGAAAATAAAATAGAGTATTTTCGGCATATTTTGTTTTCTTATTAACTAAATAATGCTGTTTAAGTAAGAAAAAAGTTATATGAAGAAGATTTATTAACAAAACGTCAATGGCAAAATAGGTTTGCAATCTGGTCAATTTCTATATTAAACACGCAGCACGTTCTAGAGGTCAGTAAAGCTGATATAATGATAATATTATTGGTTGAAGCAAATCACCGAATAACAACATGAGAAATTGATACTTTCCGAACAATTTCATACAATACAGATTTTTCAGTTTTTTTTTAAATAATTATCAAATAATATGACTTAATTTCTTATCAAATTATTTTAATTTCCGGAGTAACTTCTAATACGCAGTAGTGTAAACGATAGTTATCAACGTAATCTGTAAATTACAGCACGTTTTCACTATTTTCCTGGCAATTGCTTCAGTATGAAAGCCGAGGTTGTGTATTTGAGGGCACGTAGTTCAATAAAAGAAGAACCAAAAAAAAATCAATTCGAGATAATCTCTAGCGGCCGACATTATCCGACGGTGCGCGTTCTTTTTTTTTCAGTTGTTTTGCAACTCCCCCGATTTTAATCCGGAGATAAATGTAGCAATCAAAAATTGGTATTTGTGAAGACCAAACGCAAAATAGAATAAACGCGCGTAATCGGATTAATTTCGTGTATTTGCGAATCATCCTATTTATACTTTCGACATTTTTAATGTCGCAAAAATTAAATGTATAATACAACCGAATATCCAGATGCGTAGGGAGAAGGAACACGATTGCTTGCGGGTTGTATAGTCGAAATTTAATGTTTATAGCTTTCAACTAACATACAACTTTCCAGACTAAGTAATGGAGGGGTTAAGGTGCCAAGAGTTTAGATAAATTATACGAAACGCGCGTTAAGTGTAAATGCGGAAGGAATTTGCATAAAATAACGACGCACTGCATAACTAGAAACGGCCGTTCTGCGGCTCTTTCGGAATACCCGAAAACAATACCATTGCGAAAGGACAATAAAACTTAACGCCCCGTACGGAAATTCGGAAGGACGAAAAGGTGCGTCGTCTTTTGAGCGCGCAATAAACATTTAAAAATAAATTAACGCGAGGGTTGGGATGCGGCCATTACGGAAACTGATCCTGATGCTCCTGCTCCTTCCTAAGCCGACGCCGAATATAAGGTGAGAAAAACAGGATGCGATACCGGATGACGAAGACCGACTCGAGGACATCTTCCATGTGTTTCGAATCAAGTATAATTCATTTGGATTTCGGAAACGATGCTAATTTTGTCTTCGGAAACAGAACACCATGACACTTGATTGATTTATTATCACTCTTGTAATGCAGTACGCTGTTTAATCATAAAGCTTTTTCAATTACATCACAGTTGAAATTGTACAAATTGATTTTCAGTAATTAAAACAATCAAACCAAAATAACTGTGTAGATGTATAATCCTATAAAATAAATCTCAATGATTAAAATAATAAAATTCAAATACTTTTTCATAAATAATTTTCAATGAGCCAATAAAAACTGTTAAATAATAATTTTCAATAATTTAAATAATCGAACTAAAATACGTATTTAGAAACATTTTTCGAATTGTATAAAAAATATAAAATAATTATTTCCTTTTATTTTCTGATATTAAAACTAAATTGATTATTAACATGAAAATAATCATACAATGTTTACTACATTTCTTATAGTTGACAAGTTAGAGAACAGATTTTTTCAGAGAAACGGAAACTTAACCGTCTAGTTATGACCTTTGCATTTTTTGTATGTTTGCAATTTATTGGTTTTACTATAATTTGAAATTTTGTTGCATCAAAAATGTAACATTTAACTAAGATAGTCAAACAACAAGTGAAAGAAACTATTGTTTCCTTAGACATGAAAAATATTATTTTTCTTTTTGTTAGAGAAATTTATAAATGTCGTTTTTAATATTCTTGTTCATTTAATACCTCACTCAATAAATTCGTAGGATGACTAATAAAACAATAACTTTTGGCCAACCTCCTTCAAGAGTAATACATCTCTACCATTTGTCTCGACAGACAAGAATCCCCATAACACTTTCCAGTATTTTAAAAATTACAAAAGTAGCGTTACTAAAACCGCTGTAAATTATGAACTAAACGTCAGATTGCCATGATATTTTGAAAGGCGTCGTCTGAAGATTGGTACTTCCTAAAAATATTTGTCGATAGAGGCGTCATCTATATGTCATCCTACGAACTTCTTGAGTGAGGTGTTATATGCAAGCTAAGAGCAAATTTTCTTATGAACTTTGATAAAAGGATGAAAAACTACTAGATGAAACTAACATGAACTAAAAGACTAAATATATTTGAAATAACTTCATTCTATTTTACATTGATATTCGGATTAAAACAAATTTTATAGATTATTTTTATCCGTTGTTTGTGTAATTATTTTTGAATTTTTTTGTATTATTATAAGATTAATAATAATTATATCTATTTTAACAACCATATAACAAATTAAAAAAATGACAACGAATTTATTGTGTTTGTTCTAATGTTAGTTGCGCAAGACTTGTGCTTGCCCTTTCTTATTCATATATGAAAGAAAGCGATTATGAATTAATTTAATGAAAAAAAAAATCGTTCCGGTTACAGTTACGGTTCAGTGAAAAATTCCGGTTAATTTTCGGTTCCGGTTGGACTCTGATTTTAAGTGAAACCAATAGATGGTGCACAAGTTTATGCTGTTGTCATATTATGAACATGCTATTATCTATAAGATTTTTGTTATTTATTGGAAATAATGAATGAAATATGAAGCTCACTGTATGATATCATTTGAGTATATTGTTAACGGTTTGCTGCAACTTTTAATTATTTCAAAAGTAAAGTTGAATTAATATAATAATATATGATATATATGAAAGCTATTATAATATTGAACGTATTCATATTACACGTAAATGCTATAATAATCAATATATTTTCACTTTACTTTATTTTTATTTCGGGTAATATAAAAATCTGTAAGAGAGAGGGGGAGCGATCCGCCGCCGCGTGGTTCTCCAGTGCGTAAATGTGATTACGAGATGAAAACACGGGATTTCTGCCTGCTCTTTTTCACTTATTTGGTCGGGCTGAAAATTATGCAAATTCTCTTTTGGAAGCGGTATATCAGGGAGATGAGTGGCTCGAAATTGAAGAATAAAAACTTAATATTTCGCCCCGGAGTTTACTTTTAATTTAGAACCAAGTGGTTATTAAAATGAATGCGAAATTATGAAACGTAGTTAAATATTAAAAAAAAAACGAATGAAAAGAAAAGAATGGAATTGAAGAGGGCTGACGAGACGAAACGATGAAAAAAATTATAATAATAATGACCACGGTTTTTAATCATTTTTCTTTATATTCTAAGCTCAAATAATTTAAACATTGCGTCTATGTTAATGGATTTTTTTTTAAACTTTGGTTGTTTGTTAAAGTAACTAAATGAGATGGGAACGATGCGAATCCCACCAGCGTTCGTTCCAAAAATAAAAGTAATTCGGGGTGTTTCCACTCTTCAGTTATTCACATCAAAATAACACGGACTCTCGACAAAAGTGTTGTATGGAATCAAATTATATAGAAAATTGGATTCGATATTATCGACATCGCCAGTTATTATTTATTTACGTTGACAGGTGACGTCGGTGTCGATATCTCTCTCGAACATTATTGAAACTGATATAGAGGATAGAACTTTGTCGGGCGCAAATGTTGTATCCTCCCTCTCATGTATTTTGTTTACAGGCGACTCTTGTTTTTTTTTTATCATTGTTCGTAACGCAATTGAATTTGAATTGGTTCAAATTTTGATGGAAATTTAATGATAATTAGTTACCACGACTTGCTTACCCTTTGTGGGACACCTCTCGTTCCTGCGCGTCCGTGACGTGGTGAACAATTTCCGTGCTTCTCCTTTCGGTGTGAGGTCTTCAGTCCTCTCAGAAATCTCGAAAACGTTGTCTTTTTCTTTCCGGTGTTCGTGTAATTTTGATCTGAAACAATTAAATATACTCATTATATTACATATTTAAAATATAAAAATATAAATTAATCATAATAAACATTGTATTAAGTAAAAATTGTTAGTTTATAGATCAGCAAAAGATGGCGTTTCAATCAAATACAGCTGGCATATTTCAGTTGTATATTAAATATAATAGTAATTAAATTGCTCGAAAGAACTTGAATAATTCAACTATTTATTGACATTTATAGGTTATTATTGGTTATGTTAGACTAATTTAAATTTGATTAGGTTAAGTTAGTTTAGGCCTGTTAATCTTTAACCTTTAACTAGATGTAAGAAGTACACCAATGTTCTAAGAAATAATACCATATCTAAATTCTTTTTTACCCATTAATGACACTTAACGTAACCTATGCCCAAAGTGTTTATTAAATGCTGAAGCAGTATTGTGCTGACTGCGACACAAAAAAGTTGTTTTTGTGCACGTTCATTCTTGCTCTGTAGATGTCACAAACACAGAAATGCTAGCACTCTTAAGCTTGTTATTGTTATCTGTTTATAAGAAACAGAATCATACCAATTTTTTGAACTATGGACAAACGATGGCGCAGGCTCTGAAATATTTCATGCTTGCATGATCTACAATAGTTTTCTATAAAAAAAAACTTTAGTTAACATGAAAACGTATTTTCTTGTCGTAATATAATCATTTATGCACTCCATTTGGCAGTAATACATGTGGTGAATGAAATACACAGCGCGAGTAGTACATAGAAATTTCGGGGCCCGTGCAGTTAAAGGTTAAGTATAATATTAACCCTTTGCGAACAAGTTCCTGCAAATAGCTTTTACACAGTAGACCATGTTTATAAAAAAAAACTCATCGAATCTTAGCTTAACACAAACTCTTAGAAAGACGCTACTTTTCATTTTCAGGCGGAAACGTCAAGTTGAGGTTATTTTCTTTCTCTTTCAACATGATTTTTTTTGTTAATTTGTAGGCTGAGGTTATGCATCATCATTTTCATTAAGTTTTGACCTTTAACCATAGTTTTGTAGATATCTCATTTGAGTTACCAAAATTGGCCATAAAGCGGTTTTGTTTCTCACAGTTAAAAACGCGTACGTCAATTTTCTCCGTCCTTAAAGGATTACATTTGGGATTTCGTTCAAGTAAATGAATAACAATTTACAATTATAGAAATATATATTATGACTTTATAATTAAGGGTTAGTTTATGTAAACGTTGGGACCACTGCTTTTAGATGATAGTAATCATTATATTTATTTTATTTGAGGTTAGATCTTAAAAATTGTGACCTTTCACAATCTAACCTGAAAAATGGTTTGTGTCAATTGTTTTACGTTTGTTACATAAATATTAAATTGCTATTTACTGTGAATAAATGTATTACTTATTATATATCTGCTATAAGAAGACTTCAAATTATAAAGTATAGTATAATTTTGGTATCATACTAATATAGAGAATTTGATTAGTGTATTATTAATTGGTGCAAGAACTTCTAATACAATACAGAAGTATGCTTTTTTTGTTAAAAATAATAAAAGAATAAAGATCGTGAACATAAAACATGAAAATAATGGAAGGAATATGATTTCAAAATGTGTACAAGTGGTCAGTTTAAAAAGATTGTTCTTCGCATAACATAACCATACAGCAGATATGCATCCAAATGCAGGAGAGAGCGTCCGGTCTTTCAATTTTATTGTCTTTCGAAAGTATAGAATAAGACAAAAAAAAAGAACGTAGAAGAAAGAAATGCTGCTGCGTTTGCTGTAGCTGACGACGCAGTTTCTCCTATTTGATAACACTGAAATGGTAATTTGAATATCTAACTAATACTTATGCAAAGCAATAGACAATCACCACAAGCGGCGATGCAATTGCCGTAATTTATTCCCTTTGTTCATATTGTGCGAGGATCTGAAATGCAAACTGAATATTAAAGGAGTCCTCGGGACGATAAAAGTAAGTAATGTATGCGATCGAATTTTCGATTGCACACGGGCTGAAGCCTCTGGGGCCGTTACAACCGTGTTATTCGTTATATCCATTAGCGCGATACGTGTTCGACGGAATTACCTAACGCACCGCAATAAAATATTGCAACATATTATATTATTGTATTACCTAAGCAACGATTTTTGCATTAACAGAGTTTGATACGAACATTGTATCTACATAATACGAAAGAAAATATTTATTATACAAATACATACAAGATTTTGATTATATTACAGAATATCTTGTATAGAAAACTTAAAATTTATTACATATTTTTAACAAAACATTATAAACTAAAATAATCACTGATATGTGCTTAAACATGACTTTAGATAAAATATAAACAAACTGGGTTGAAAGATGATTTCTTGGTAAATATCTGATCTGTTAGTAAAACTATATATTTTATTAGAATATTTCACATTCATTACATAATAATTGGCGTAATTCAATGCTTGACATAAACTAAAATATAAGAGGTGCAACTGTTCTTTTTATTGGTAATTATGATTTTTTTTTATATTTATTCTTTTGATAATTACTTGAAATATCAAAATCTGTATTGAGTAACTTTTGTAAAGAAATAATAAAAATTCAATATATTTTTTTTTATAGCAATATTATTGAAACCTCGCTTAATACTATTAAAAAATGTGTACGTTTATGGGAATAAAAGAGAGGTAAGTCAATACAAATAAATTCTTGTCAAGAATACAGAAATACAGGATCAGATATTCAAATTTGTATTAGTATCTGTTTAAATTTATATCGATAGTTGTAATTCTCATGGTAGAAAAAAGGTATATTATTGAAACGCCATCTTTCGGTTTGTTTGAGAAACTTTCTAATATATTCTAGTAAGGAGCGCATACAAATATATATTAAACAAGTTGAACACAACATTTTCTTTAGTATTTTAATCCCTAAAACTGGATTTAAATGAAATAACTGAAGTTTAAACTCATCCCGAACTAATTAATTGTTTTATCACATCTAACTGGATTTCTTTAGTTGACTCTATTTAATTGTATAGTCCAGAGGTGGCCAGACTTTTTGCAGCAACCGTTTGGTCACCCCTGGTATATTCATACTTCGATTAACGAATATGAATCAAAAATTAGTTTTCAGGGGTTATAAAATTCTATGTCTAGAATGGGGATACATTTCTTCGTAAAGAAAATAAATAGCTTTTTTCCGATCAAAGAAAAATAAACAAACAAAAATAAAAATAAGAGTATAAAGTTGATTGTTTGAAGTTTGTTCTCTCTTTCTTTTAACAAATGCCTATACGGTGTTATTGCATTTAACACTTATTATTTAACATTTCTCCCTAAAGCAGAATCATCTTTTTAAATGTTTAGTTGTTATCAGTTTTTTGTCAAAAATTTCTTTGTCTTCCTTCTACCAAAGTTTTCAAAATTTTCCACTGAAAAACTATCATCTTTTGCATTCAAGAAACATTTAACTTCTTCTTTATCTACATTTTAATAACCTATTGATTGATTATTCTTTTACAACTTTTGGCTATAATTTGCTTGAAATTGCGGACTTCGTTATTTCGACGCTTTGCTATCAGAGGTAACGTTAACCAAGATATGCCTGTATTTCTACATTTAATGAAGCGGTACACGCTATAAACGCCATTTTGCTGAATATTTTAGATACTTATATTGAAATAAGTAAATACGTACACAAATATACATCAAGTTTTTCGAGACCTCTTATTTCATCAATCACTTAATTAGCAAATTGTGAATTTTCTGTATTTACAATCTTAAAGTTTCTAAAAAATAATTATTTTATTATATTTTAATGGTTTTCATTTATTGACTATCTATGATATAAATTAGTAAAAATTAATAATAACATAACATTATTCTTTATTGACACTAAAAATAAAACAAAAGGCACACGATTAAAATGCCATCTTTCGGCATTTATTCGGGCATTGGGCGCTTAACGATCACCTCGCATAACGAGCAAAATGAAAAGCAAAAATTTGTCTACACATATTATATGTATTTTTGAATATGTTTCACTATACGAGTAAAAATCCGGAAATTCTGGAAAGGATTAAACTCGTTAAGCGAGGTTCTGCTGTACATTGATTCTAATTGCTAATTTATAAATCAATAAATATAATATATACACAATGCGAAAAACTCAAATTATAATACGTCAGAACGTAATGATGAATTTGCTTATAAGCACATTATGCATTGATTATAACTATTTAATTTATAATCATTACGTAAAGAGCTTATAAGCAAATTCATCATTACATTCTGACCTAATGGCTATAACACTTTAAAACTCGTTTCGCCGAAGCTTTGATCGTTTTCCCACTCCCATGTAACGCGCGTACGCGATTTTAACTGAATTATTTTCCACATGTTATCTATTCGCCATCGTTATTTCTAAAGCAGGTAGCGTGCAGAGGGGGCTGGAAATGTCAACCGCAGTGAATATGCGTGAGCTATTGGGAAATGCGGCATTGCAAATTGTTTCCCATTTTCGCTAAATATTTCACTTTTTCATTCAATTTTAAAATGGCAGTAAAAAAATAATATTACAGCTGCGCGACGGAGCGAGAATAGCGAATAAACTGCGGGAAAAAAAGAACATGCAAATGCATATTCGCATTGGGAACCGAACACACAAAAAAAATAGTAGGCGGAGAACAAGAAGCTTTCTTTCATTTGAAAAATCCGTTTAAATCCTGGTACATATATACACGCATTTGTTCGGGATAAAAGAACATACGAAAAAAAAACTATTATTCTTTTTAATCTGTTAATTTAAGATTATTCATTTGCACTGCATTCCGAGCTACCAAAATATAACGAATCCGACATTTAATCCCTCCTTGCATATTCCCACTTACGTCATTATCGTCGCCAATTTCAGCAGTTGCAATTAGGAAATGCCAGTTAAATTGCTTCAGTTTAATTTGGATGTTGCTTAATGAACGAAATGCTGCTGCTACTGCCGCTGC